GGGAACACCACTAGCTACGGGATTTTCTTGCCTCACGGGAGAGGAAGAATCCACCCTCAACGAAGCCGAAGGGAAGCGGTTTCATTCGCTAGTGGGCTCGCTCATGTATGCCGCCGTTTCTTCTCGTCTCGACCTCGCATACGCCGCCGGGGTGCTTGGACGAGTCGTGGGCAACCCTCATACCGAGCATGTGCGCGCGGGAGGACGCGTTCTACGCTACCTCCAAGGCACACCTAACTTGGGGCTCGTGTATGAAGCCGGCCCAATCGAACTCAAAGGCTATGCCGACTCGGACTACGCGGGAGATCCGAGCACGTGCAAGAGTACCTCCGGGTATGTGAGTTGGTAAAGCAAGAAGCAACCAACCGTGGCTCTAAGCTCAACGGAAGCGGGGTATATGGCCCTCACTCAAGGTGCCATGGAGGGAATATGGTTACGGCGTCTCCTAGCGGAGCTTGGGCATCCTCAACCGAACCCAACTCCTCTCTTTTGTGACAACCAAGCCACCATAAGCCTCTCTTACAACGCCGTCCTTCACGGGCGAACCAAGCATATCGAAGTGAAGCATCACTTCATTCGTGAGGCGGCTGAGAAGGGTGAGGTCAAACTCTCTTATGTGAGCACCAAAGCTCAACCGGCGAATTTCCTCACCAAACCACTCCCTAAGGACTCGTTCTGTGCATGCTGTGAGCGTGTTGGCTTGAGCACCTAGTGGCTTGGGTGCAAGGGAGAGTGTTGGAGGTTGCGTGGGGCGGTTTTGCCCCCAACTACCAAGCGGTGCTGTTTTTGGTGCTCGCCTTCGAGTGAGCTGAAGGTTTGCGTGGGGTTGAAGTTTGACTTCGGAAGACTCCGCCAATTCGGTGCCACATGGCAGCATCAGGAACATTCAAGTACCGAATTTCACCCCGTTTGAAATGTTACACGAATGTTCGCGACACATCTCGTAGTGACTATATGTTACATGCGCGACTCAATGTATTGAGAAGCTATAAATATGTTCGCCTTGTTTGCATGTTTCATACTGAAAATCAGAGTTTCCCATACACAGTTCAACTCGACACAAATTCCAGAGAGCATCCTATCCTTCAACCTAGAGCATAGCTTTCACGTTAGAGGCCATAACTCGCTCGATACTTAGGCGATCGACGCAATTGACGGCTCGTTGGAAAGCTAAGACAGAGCTCTAGTGATTAGTACAAATCCTAGTTCATGCAAATTAGAGGAGAGTCCTTTACAACAGTGGTATCAGAGCTGGTCGGAGGAGTCTACGCGCGCAACAAGAAGCTAGCATGCCGACGTCAAGCGAGGCCTCCCGCAATTCCTTGGATGGTGTCGTTGTACATTCCGGCGAACCCTGGGCAATCGCGACGATGTTTGACACGTCGGCGGTACCGATTTTCACGGGACAAAACTACTCCGCGTGGAAGTTAAGTTCCAAGTGCTCATGATGGAGCGGGGACTTTGGGGTTTCTTCGATGGAACGGAGAAGAAGCCGGACAACGAGAGCGTCATCGCGGCATGGAAGAAGAAGGACCAAAAGGCGTTCGCTACGTTGATTTCACGCATCGGCATCAATCTCGTGAGCTCGGTGCGCATGTGCATCATGCTCAAAGCGACGGCGCATGAAGCGTGGAAGCGGCTCGAGACGATGCACGTGAACAAGACTCTCCACGGCAAGATCCTAGCCCAGAATGCGTCCTACATGGTGAATATGTGCGCGGGCGGATCGATGCACGAGTATGCAACTCGTGTGGGGGAACTCGGGGAAACGTTCATGGACCTCGGTGGAACGGTCACGAAGGAGGATTGGATTTTGACCTTGCTATGCGGCCTTCCGGAAGAGTGGTCGACGGTGATTACGACACTCGATAGCGTGCAAGACACTTGGACGAAGGAAATGGTGGTCGGTCGGCTTCTCCATGAAGAATCGCGTCGCCGACAATTCGCTAATGAAACACATCGAATGGCTCGAGAAAATGCCACTATTGTGGCAAGGCAGGACACTTTTGGCGTGAGTGTCGGAAGCGCCCGAGCGATTGGACTCCATCGAAGGCGCGGAACCACGAGGGCAACGCGCACACGGCATCCGGCGATGCGGATGATTCAAGGGAGTCGATCGTATTATTGGCCGGTGACGGGACCAACACACCAAGCGACGCATGGTTCCTCGACACTGGCGCAACACAACACATGACGCACTCAGCATCGTTCCTCACCAACGTTGGTGCACCAGGAGACGTAACGCGCGTCGTCTTCGGAAACGACAAATCGCTACCGTTGGTCGGAGTTGGAAGTACGCTGGGAGGGTGGGGTCGCTGGGGCATTGAAGGGGTGGTACACAGGAACAAGGAGTTCTTCTGCTTAGAGGGGTGAGTCACTCAGGACCCGATGCGATTTGTTCTTGGTGGGGGCAAATCGACGCGGCGCGATGTACCATGAAGAATTGGCAGGTGCTAAGGCCTGACCCAAAAGTCCAAGTGCGGATCAACAATGCTGTGTACGATGTGTAAGATATATATAAATGCAAGAAACACAAACTTAGCAACGTTTCGTCACCCTCCTCTAATATTACGCAAACTACTGTAAGGGCGTGTAACATCGCAGTGAACAACTTACAAACCGTCGGTTTCTGCGAGGATTACATTTTGCTCTGTTCGCCATCGCAATTCGAACAAATCGACCAGCCTACCGCACCTTCCAGTATGCCACTGTGTACACCAACTTTGTGTTGAAATGCTAGGCAGAATCAAGAAACAGGAAAGAGGGGTTTTCACTAGCATGCAGTTCAGTACATATAGCAAACCCTAATTCGGGCTGTACTCGCTATAGAGTACCCCACTGCAGGCTACACAAGCATCACATTCTGACACACCCCCATAGTCAAAGTGGGGTACAATCAAAACAACAAGCAGGCAAAGCAGTAGTTCACAAGTATAAGCAAAGCTAGAGGCAGTCACAGAGGGCAAGTGAGGAGGAGGAGAAACTGTGAGGGCGAGAAGATGGGAGACGACGGCTGAAGCTGCAGACCCACAGGCAGCAGGAGTGCGCAGCACTGTCGCTACCAGGCTAAACCCGGACTACACGGCGACAGGCGCAGCTGGCTCACTGTGCTCCCAGGAGTGCACACACTGTGGCTACCGGGCGCAGAGCCCCGGACTACTCAGGCCACAGGGGGTCGTGGCTCTCTGGACTACCAGGAGCGCTCACACTGTGGCTACCGGGCGCAGAGCCCCGGACTACTCAGGCTACAGGGGGTCGTGGCTCTCTGGACTTCAGGCGCTGCGGACGACAAGTTGGCTACCTCCGGTCAACCTCCCCCAGCTGTCCCATACCCCGTTCACACACTCCCTACTGCACCTCTAGCACTGCTCACACGCCACCCCCCTCGAACGACTCCGACGGCTCCAACACATCCACCCCCCTCAGCGGCAGCTGCAGCAGTGGGAGACAGAGGAGGAGGAGGAGAAGGGGACGGCTCACACACACGGCACCCCCACACTCTCCACCCCCAAACCCTAACACAGGAACGCAGGCAGCAGCGGGGGTGGGGCGCAGTCAGGAGCTCGGGGGACGGCGTGCGGCAAGGGGGGAGACAGTACGGGCCGCTCACGGGCCTGGTGCAGCCCGTACGAACCGCGCGCGGGCTGCCCGAGCCGCGCGCGGCCCTGGCGCAGCCCGTACGGGCCGCGCGCTGGGCTGGCGCAGGCCGTACGGGCCGCGCGCGGGCCTGGCGCAGCCCGTACCGGCCGCGCACGGGCTGTACGGGCCGCGCGCGGGCCTGGCGCAGCCCGTACGGGTCGCGCGCAGGCCTGGCGCAGCCCGTACGGGCCGCGCGCGGGCCTGGCGCAGGTCGCACGGGCCGCGTCGGGCGACGGGGGGCGACGCGACGGTTCGACGGGGCAGAAAACCGCCGCGCGCCTTGGGGCGCGCGGCGGGAAGAAAAATCGTTGCGCGCCCGGAGCGCGCGGCAGGCAGGAAACAGCACGCGCCCGGGGCGCGCTACAAACAGTAGAGCAGCGGAAGCATCGGGTGGGACCCACCCACAGGATCGACCCAGGAGGGTCGACCTGCTCTGATAGCATGTTGAAATGCTAGGCAGAATCAAGAAACAGGAAAGAGGGGTTTTCACTAGCATGCAGTTCAGTACATATAGCAAACCCTAATTCGGGCTGTACTCGCTATAGAGTACCCCACTGCAGGCTACACAAGCATCACATTCTGACACTTTGTCGACCATCTCGTCGCACAGGTGCGTAATGAATGTGCACGAGAAGGGTCGCGATGCAGTGCCAATTGAAATCGTGAAACCGTGCAACTCAGTTTGTGACTCATTGTCCCGCACGAACTCACGCGAGTTGTCGCGTGCCGACGAATATCCTTCGTCCAGATTGATCCCACCAATCCGACTCAATTCGTGTGTCGTTACACCTTATTGTCGCACTCTACTCCGTTTCGCCGATATATTGTCAGATTGCTCCAAATCAGCCGCGTCTTGTCTGGTCGCCCAATGGGGCGGTTAGGAGGTTGTGAATCTGTCGCCCCTCGCGAACACTGGCGAAGCTTATGGTCGACCAAACTGTCGACCAGAGCGTGGTTCACTGAGATGTTACACGACCTCACAATCACTGGCTTGGCATGCACCACCAGCAGGTTGTAGCGAGGGAAAGCAGGATAGTCGTTCGACCCCATGATTTCGGTTCGCAATCTCACGCCAAAGCGAATCAGATGGGGCACGAACCGTCACATTTCCCCAACCTCAATTGCTCCGCACCGCAGCCTGATGTGCACCCAATCAGCGTGGCACTCCCAGAAATATACATATCCATAATAGCTCACCGAAAAGAATTTCATTATAATTTCCGCATGAACATGTAACCAGCCAGTCCAAGCTCTAGCACACCTCCAACAACTCGTGAAAGCAGGGAACAGAAAAAAAATAGCCCAGCCCACAACTCCTATCTACTTTCATGGACTGACTAACTACAGAATCCGAACAAGCTCTACGAGGAGATGTTGGGGTAGTAGGTAACAGTGCGGTTGTTCACGGGCTCGGGAAGGCGGTTGTCGGTGCGCTCGGTGTTGAGCTTCGCCAGCATGTTCATGAAAGTGATGGTCTGCATATCACAGGGGACGAGCAAGAGAGAATTGGGCCAGATTTAGAATGATTTCGAACCAAGGCGCACAAGTGAATGCGGCTTCTATGAGACCGAAATGCCAAAAGCGCATAAAAATAAATATAGCTCGAATTGTTACCTGGGCCACGGAGAGGAACTTGGCCTTGCGCACGACGTGCCACTCGACGATCTCGTTGCAGTCGGGGGTGGTGAGCGAGCCGGGGTAGCGACAGAAACCCATGGACATGTCGATCATGTCAGCCCAGAAGTTGTCGGGAATGTCGATGGTGACCGTGCCGTTCACATCGGCGGGGGTCTTGGGCAGCCAGCTGAGAGAAAACGTCGGCGGGGAAGGAGGAGAGTAGAGTAAATGAGCATTGATAACGCTGATATGCAGCGCAGAAATATGAGCAAGTACATCTGACAAGCAAAACTCTGGTTTGTTAAGCACTCACGTGTCGACCCAGGCGGAGGCCTCGTCGTGGCGCTGCAGGCGGATCATGACGCCGACGACGGCGAGGACGTTGGGGTCACTCTCGTGCACGTGCACGAAGTGCGCCTCCATGGGCGAGAAAAGCCCGTTAACCGCGTGCTCCGAGAACGAGTGCACGTGCATCTGGACGAGGGTAGGGGAGGGGAGACAGAATCGGCAGAATTAAGAGAGATGAGCGCACGCGTACAACAAACGAGGCGAATGCTTCACGAAATATGAGAGGTGAAACATCAGTGAGGGTTACGAGAAAGTGAATCATGCTAGGGACGACGGTTCTCGAAACGACTGTTGTGAGTGCCACCAAAAGTGCGAAGGACGGAAGAGCGAGGACGGGAGCATGGAAAGCTCTGACTTCAGGGATTTCTTAGCATTGCAAATTCATCACGCGTCTCAGCATTGAGGGGGGGGGATGACTGTTGTAGAGGCGTCTCCTCTACTTTGCAGGAACTCTAAGTTGCACTAAACGATAGAGCACAGTCTTGGCTTTCCAACAAGCCGTCAAACACGTTAATCGCCCAAGTATACGCCGAGATATTGGCGTTCACGTGATTGCTAGTGCTCTTAGAAGCAAGGATAGACCTCTCTGGAATTTTGGTTCGAATGGACCATGTACAAGAAGATTCAGGATTTCAGTATAAAGCATGCATACAAGGCAGGTCGATTTATAGCAAATGCATTACATCGAACCGCACATGTAACATCACATCGCTACACTCGCGTCGCGAATGCGCCGCGTGTAACATTTCGGTTGGGGTGAAATTCGACCACCGAATTTCACACCGAACACACCGAATTCGCCTTGCACTTGAAGGTTGGAATGTGGTGCCGCCACGTGGCACCGAAGGGTGAGTCTCCCGAAGTCAATCGGTGCCACCCCACCGATCCCTAGTCAAAGGGATCGAAGGCACCGAAGTGCCCTCGGTGGGTTGGGGGCATACCACCGCCCCACCACCGTTTCCTTCCAACACTCCCCCTTGCACCCAAGCCACTAGGTGTTCATACCAACACGCTCACGGCATGCACGGAATGAATCCTTAGGGAGTGGTTTAGTGAGGAAATCCGCGGGTTGCGCCTTGGTGCTTATGTATGTGACCTTGACCTCACCTCTCTCGACCACCTCACGAATGAAGTGATGCTTCACCTCAATGTGCTTGGTACGCCCGTGAAGGACGGCATTGTGAGTGAGGTTTATGGCCGCTTGGTTGTCACAAAAGAGAGGAGTTGGGTCGGCTTGAGGATGCCCAAGCTCCGCTAGAAGGCGCCGTAGCCATATTGCCTCCATGGCTCCTTGAGTGAGTGCCATATACTCCGCTTCCGTTGTGCTTAGAGCCACGGTTGGTTGCAACTTGCTTTGCCAACTCACGGCTCCCCCAAGCAAGGTGAAGACGTACCCGCCGGTACTCTTGCGCTTGCTTTGATCACCGGCATAATCCGAGTCGGTGTAGCCCTTAAGCACGATTGGACCGGCTTCATATACGATTCCCAAGTTGGGTGTGCCTTGGAGGTAGCGTAGAACACGTCCTCCCGCACGCACATGCTCGGTATGAGGGTTGCTTACGGCTCGTCCAAGTACCCCGGCGGCGTATGAGAGGTCGGGACGGGTGGAAACGGCGGCATACATGAGTGAGTCGACTAGCGAATGAAACCGCTTCCCTTCGGCTTCGTCGAGGGCGGATTCTTCCTCTCCTGGGAGGCAAGAAAATCCCGTGTCTAGTGGCGTCCCCACCGGGTTGCTATTACCCATGCCGAAGCGCTCCACAACCCCTTTCACATATTTTTCTTGGTGGAGGTGAATGGTCCCGTTCGCGCGGTCGCGGTCGACGTGCATCCCGAGGTAGTACGTCACCGGTCCCAAGTCCCTCATGGCAAACTCCGCCCCTAGCCGTTGCTTGACCTCTCGAATGAGGTCTTTGGAGTCGGAGAAAAGAAGGAGGTCATCGACGTAGAGCAAAAGCACCAATTGCTTCTCCCCCTCCTTCAACACGTACAAAGCGCTATCACACACGCTACGAGCGAAGCCGTGTTGAAGAAAGTCGTCGATGCGCTTGTACCATCCGCGTGGGCTTTGCTTCAAGCCATAGAGGGTACGCTTGAGCTTCCACACCCGACCGCTACCGTCATCGTACCCCGGGGGTTGCCGCATGTAGACTTCTTCCATGAGAAGCCCGTAGAGGAAGGCGGTGCAAACGTCCAATTGTTCCACCTCGAGGTTGAGAGATGCCACTAGCGCGAGCAACACCCGAAGAGTGGAGGCCTTCGAAACGGGAGCGAAGGTCTCACTATAGTGCTCCCCCTCCCGTTGAGTGTACCCTTGCGCCACAAGCCGCGCCTTGTAGCGTTCGACACCTCCATCGGCTCCCAATTTCTTCCTAAGCACCCACTTGCATCCCACCAAGTAGGCACCCTTCGGCGGGTCGACGAGCTCGAAAACATCGTTCTCCTTGATCGATGCTAACTCCCTCTCCATCGCTTGCTTCCATAGCGGTGCATCCGGGGAAGCCAAAGCCTCCTTGTGAGTGCGTGGGTTATATTCGCCGATGGTCGCTAGGCAAATCGCCGCACTCTCCTCATCCGACTCCCCAACGGCGACCATAGCATAGTCGGTTAACCTCGTGTTGGGGCGAGGTGTACGACGCCCGCGAGTCAACGCCAATGGTAGGGAAGAAGGTGCGGAGGAAGTGGCCTCCTCGGTTGGTGGTACCTCCTCGACATCATCATCGCACTCCTCGTTCTCTCCCCGTCCACTTTCGGCTCCCTTCTTCACGTGCGGTGAAACCTCCACCGCTTCATCCTCATCTCGTGCGGGAAGGACGACGGTGAGTTGCGGCGTTTGTTTCTCCTTTGTCGGGAACTTGTCTTCGTCGAAGATCACATCCCGAGACGTGACGACGCGTTTTTCATCCAAATCCCACACTCGCCATGCACGCTCGTTCGCCGCAATCCCCAAGTAGATCGCCGCACGAGCTTTCGGTTGCAACTTGTGGCGAAGTGGATCCGGTACATGGTAGTAGCAAAGGCACCCAAAGGTGCGTAGGCGGTATAGGTTCGGCTTCGTTCCAGTCCATGCTTCGAACGGAGTCGTTCCCGGTAGCACCTTTGTTGGCACACGATTACGAATCCATGCCGCTAGCGCACTCGCCTCTCCCCACCACTCGTTCCCAAGCTTGGAGTGTTGAAGAAGTGAACGAACGGCCTCCATCAATGTGCGATTGAGCCGCTCTACCGCTCCATTTTGTTGGGGTGTGTAGGGTGTCGTGACGTCGTGCTTAATGCCCTTGCTTTTCATCCATTTTTCAAGCTCGTTGCTCACGAATTCGCCGCCACCATCGGTGCGAATGCACTTGATCCGCTTCTTGCCGTCGTCGCAAACGTCGAGCGCCCACTCTTGAATCGCCTTGGCCGCATCTCCCTTAGCCTTCAAGAGTCGGGTCCAACTCATCCGCGTCGCGTCGTCGAGCATCACTAAAAGGAACCGCGCTCCTCCCTTTGATGCATGCCGCATCGGTCCACACACGTCCATGTGAACAAGCGCAAGCGGGTCCTTTGCGAGGGGTGAGGTACGGCTACCAAATGGCTTGCGAGCCATTTTTCCTTCGACACACGCCGCGCACACGCCCTTCTCGTCGTTGCCGGCGATCACGTCAAATCCCTTCGCAAGTCCTTTGTTGGCCAACTCTTTGACCGAGTCGTAGTTGGCGTGCGCAAGCCGATTATGCCACATTTTGAGAGTCGCCTTGGAGCCTTGCGCCACGTTGGATGAGGCCGTTGTCGGATGCGTCTTGAGTTGGTAGAGTTGTCCGTTGAGAACGTCTTGCGCGAATTGCTTCCCATTCCAAAAGAGGTTCATCTTCGCGCCATCGATGGTGACCTTCACGTCTTTCTTTGCGAGTTGAGTAACGGAGAGTAGATTCACCTTCAATCCCGGGACGTGAAGCACGTTCGTGATGTCCACCGGCCCGCCATCGACGATGAGACGCGTACTCCCAACTCCAACCATCGGTAGCGATTTATCGTTCCCGAAGACGACGCGCTTGACGTCTCCCGGAGCACCGACGTTGTTGAGGAGCGACGCCGAGTGCGTCATGTGTTGTGTTGCACCGGTGTCGAGGAACCACGCGTCGTTTGAAGTGTTGATCCCGTCACTGGCCAACAAAACGAGCGACTCCGTTGAATCATCCGCCTCGCCGGATGCCGTGTGCGCGTTGCCCTCTTGGTTCCGCGCCTTCGATGGAATCCAATCGCTCGGCCGCTTCCGACATTCACGCCAAAAGTGCCCCGCTTTGCGACAATAATGACAGTTGCTCGAACCGTTCGATGCGTTGCCCTTGCCGCGACCGTTTCCACCGGACGACTTCTTTGCCTCACCGTTGCTCCACTTGGACTTCTTTCCGTGAGAAGAAACGAGGAATGAAATGACTAAGTGAAAGTTGGGTACAAGAAGCAAACCCTAGAAAACTGTACCCCATATGTGCTACCCCACTATAGCCTATAGTAGCTATGTCATATAAATCTGACACACCCCCATAGGCAAAGTGGGGGAGAACAAGGGGTCACAAGACCAGTCAAGCAAAGCAAAGCAAAAACAAGCTCAGGGTGGATCACAAAGTCACCACACATTCCGAGCACAAGTTCAAGGCCACAAGGCCAGTTCACAAGCAGGAGTACACATATATATAAAAAAAGGCTAGACAAACAAGAGCAGGTATATATATATGTAACAGTACTAGCAAGGTCAAGAGGTGAGCAAGTGAGGCAAGGTAGGCACAAGGCCAAGCTGAGTATAGAAGCGCTGATGGTCACAAGGCGCAAGTGCCTTGGTGAAGATATCAGCAGTGTTGGCCTCAGAGGCCACGTACGCAAGACGCAGCTGACCACGCTGCTGCAGCTCACGAGCAAGAAAGTAGCGGAGAGCAATGTGCTTCGTTCTGTGCTCCAGTCGCTGCTCCCGACACAAGGCCAGCATGGCCTTGTTGTCTACGTACAGCACTGGAGGAGAACGAGGCAACTCTCCGAGGTCAGTCAGCAGGTAGGTGAGCCAGCGAAGCTCCTGTGCAGCCATGGCTCCTGCGTAGATCTCAGCCTCACAACTGGAGCCGAGAACAGAAGACGAGCGAGTAGCCCGC